ATATATAATAAACCCGTCAGTATTCCGTGACTATTATGTAGCTCATCTCCTCTGTCGGTAGTCCGTAGCTAATTACCTACGAAATAACTACGGATTTACGTCCCTCGCTATTCCGTAGCTAATTAGTGACGGAATATCTACGGAATTACTTCCGTTGCTATTCCGTATATATTACGTTACTAAATTAGGGCATCGTAGCTCTTTTTTGTAGCTAAACCATATGTTTTCTAGTATTGAAATGGACACAATTCAATTCCTTCGAAATCCTTTGAATTTCCTGTTTAATGGATTTCACCATTCCTAAGGGAGTGCGGAAGGAATTTAATTTTGCCCTTCCTTTTTTTTAATTAAAATACCAAAACACCCTCATTATATATATCATGAAACAAAAACAATAAAAATATATATTTACGATAAACAAATTTGGAATATTGTCTTCGGTTTTAGAAATGTGGAATATACTAAGGCTTTGGCTAAAGTGGTCAAATCTTGGGCTCGACCGGTTAGAATTTCATCAACCAAAGATCTGCTTGCAGTAAGACCATTTATACAGGCAATATAAGATTCTCTGTTTTTTTTTCATGTTATCCCTCATTTTGGTATGTGGTTTTTTATATTATTATGTGTAGGATGCAGAAAAGGGAGGATATGTTGTTGGAGCATTTCATGTGTATAATCTTGAAGGGGTTGAAGCAGTTAAATCTGCAGCAGAAGATCAAAAGAGTCCTACTATATTACACAGGTATTGGATACGTTATCTGGAAGCTATACAAATACATTACTTCAACGTGATACATTTCATAAAAATCAGAAATATTTACCTTCAATATGATATAGTTCACTTGAATTATTATATATACTATAACATTGTTTTTTTTCTTTTTTCTACAGATTCATTCTATTGCTCTAAAGCAAGGAGGAAACCCTTTGGTGGCATGCTACATTTCTGTTGCTGAACAAGCAATGTAAGTTTTCTGAACAAAAAAGCGCTACTCTTTGTTTAGAGGGAGAAAAATGAAAGTTGAAATTTGTATTGATCCTCAGGTGCCTATCACTGTTCATTTTGATCATGGTAATTCCAAACAAGAACTTATGGAAGTTCTCGAGTTGGTAAGTCTGACTCTTAAATTTTATTTCCAGAACAGGACAATTTTTTTTATTCAATTCATCCACTATATGATAATCGTTACAACTTTATGTTTATTTATTTAATTTCTGAATTCATACACTGGGAGTTGAGTCGGTCATGGTAGATGGTTCACACCTACCCTTCAAGAAAAATATCTCATACACAAAATGCATTTCATCATTAGCACATGCAAAGGGAATGACAGTGGAAGCTGAATTAGGCAGATTATCTGGAACTGAAGATGA